AGAATTTCACTTTTGGACACGTTGAGTTTCATGTGCCTTTGAGATCCCCAAGCGAAGACGGCAGCAGGCAGTTAGAGACACAGATGGGCCGAAGTGATGATGCGGGGCTCATCGACACAGAGAAGGTGATTGAGGCCAGAGGAGTGGGAGAAGTGGCCAGGAGACGACGTATACAAACGGGAACATGCTTGCATGTCTGCAGATTCACAAATCTTCTTTCCTTCCTTTAAAACACATTTTTTGAGTACCTCCTGTGTGTTAGGTTCTGGGTGATAAACATAGTCGTTTCTCTAGAGAAGCCTGTAGGCTGTGAGGAGGATGAGCATAGACGAATAATCCCACAGATAAATATCTAATTACAAATTGCAGTAAGGCTGCAAAGGAGTAGTACAGAACGCTGTGAGAGAGCAGAGCCCTCGTGTGGACGGGGAGGAGGAAAAGCCTGTCGAGATCACATTTAAGGTGAGACTTGGAGGTGACCAAGGGAATAGTGGACAGTCATGTTCCAAGCAGAACGTTCAAGGGTACAGAGGCAGGATGGGGCCCGGCAGCAGGAGGCCCAGGGTGGGCAGACTGGAGAGGTCAGCAGGTGTCCTGTCCTTCAAGTCCTTGGAGGTCATGCTGAGGGTGGAGATTTTTGTCCTCTGTGGAGTGGGGAACACTTAAAGATTTTAAGCAGGAGTGATCTCACTCAGTTACATTGTGGAAAGAGGTTGTCGCTGTGGGGAAGGCACAGCAGGAGTCAAAGTCAAGGTGAGGTAGAGGTTGGTAGGCTGCTGTCTGCTATGGACTTGGTCTTAAGGGGTGAGAGCAGTGATGGAGAGGAGGATGCAGATGTTTAATATTTGGGCTGCAGAATTAAGAGATTTGGGTAATTGACTAGAGGGATAAGGGGATCTATGGACTTGGTCTTAAGGGGTGAGAGCAGTGATGGAGAGGAGGATGCAGATGTTTAATATCTGGGCTGCAGAATTAAGAGATTTGGGTAATTGACTAGAGGGATAAGGGGATGCCGGTGGCAAGGATGACATCAGGGCCTCTGGCGTGAGAAGCTGGAGAGACGGGAGCTATTGGATGGGACAGAGATGGTTGGAGGAGGAGCAGGTTTGCTGGAGAGGGTCGGCGTGTCCCTAGAGACTAGAGCTCAGCTCAGATGCTAAGACAGGGAGCGGAGGGGAAGGGGCTCCTGACTGTCACAGGTCATTTGTAAGTTCGTGGATAGAATTAAAAGGTGACGCAAATTTTCACACGAACTTCTTGAAGCACCTAGCACAAGCTACTTGCATGTGGTCAAGTGTTATCCATCCACTGGGTTTGAAGCAGTGCATGTTCTCAGCCCTGTTCTTTTGGGTTTTGGCTCTAGGTGCCACTATGAACGAGACTGCAGAGACAACTGCGGCGTCACCCCCTTTATGGATGCAATTCAGTGTGGTCATGTCAGTGTGGCCAGGCTGCTCCTCGAAAAACATGAGGTATAAAAATGGGTGTTTTATTCCTTTGCTTCTTCCTACAAATGTTAGATCACAGGGTAAGCAGAGCTCATCGTCCTTCAGATCTTTGGTTCAAATCCCAGCTCTACCAAGTTCCCCAAGGGACCCCTTGACCTCTTTAAGCATCAGCGTTCCCAGCTGTAAAATGGAGACAAATTTAATTTCTTTAGAAGGTTCCCAGAAGGATTAAATAATATACTGTACATAAAGCAGCGAAGTAAGTATTCAGTAAATAGTTGCCTTTGGTAGTCATAACAACCAGCTGTCTCTGCTGACTGTGCTTTTGTTATTATAGTCTGGAGCATTGAATCTTAACCCTTTTTTTTCGGTTAGAGAGTCCTTTGAGAATCAGAAGCTATGTATCCTCTGCCCAGAGAAACGTACCAGACAACTGAGTTTTGCCAGACTGTCAGCAGGTGTGTGGACCTGGGTTTCTCTGCCACTCATCCTTGCCCTTCTGTCCTCTGTCTGCTAGGCCTGCTTTTCCGCTGAGGACAGCCTGGGGGCCCAGGCTCTGCACAGGGCAGCTGTCACCGGGCAGGATGAAGCCATCCGGTTCTTGGTGTCTGATCTCGGCATTGATGTAGACGTGAAAGCAACATCATCCCATCTTACGGCACTTCATTACGCAGCTAAGGTTTGTGTTTCCGTCTTGCTCAGCCTGGCCTTGCTCCCTTGATGGACAGCTCCATAGTCCTGGTTTCTTTGGCTCTATCTCTATGGAAGAAATTACCCATGATATACTCCTGAAATGTTCATGATTCTGAAGCCCTTTATCCCTTTAAATAGAAACATGTCTTTGTTTCTAGGCAGAAACTGAAAAAAATTCCTTTTTTTTGGCTGGCTGGTACAGGGACCTTGTTATCAGCATCACGCTCTAACCGGCTGAGCTAACTAGCCAGCCCTGAAAAAAATTGTTTACTCCACTCCATGCAATGCCTGAGCTGTATTCTCTTCCTCCCCCCCTCACTTTTTTGTTTTCAGGAATAATGTTATTTGAAGCCTCAAAGATGCATTGCATGAAATTCCTAGCTCTCTGTCCCGATTCAGGATTTCAGAAGTTAAGATCTCTTTAACTGAAGGGAATTGCATTTACTTGGCTCTGCAGTGTATAAAATATTGAGATATGCAATAGTTTTTCACTAGAAAAGTAACAGTTTAAATGTTAGGAGTCTTTTGCATATTATCTTTAACATTATTTATTGGCCACGTGTCTTCACTTGTTTTCCTAGAAGCAGGAATAAATTTTTTCCTGATCAACTACACTGTCCTGCATTTCCCCCTTGTGAGCAGGTGGATGGATACACAGGGACAGGCTAAGAGTCCGGTTTGTGACCACAGAGGGAGAAAAGCTACTTGGTCCTCCCAGAGGAAGGATGGACCTGGAACCTTGATTTTAGTCTCACTACATACTAACGGACTAACTGGCTGGACAAAGAAAGAGTGTGCAAATTACTTCATAAACGATAATGCAAGCTGCAGTAGGAATCCCATTTATGAGAGGTTGCGATTTTTTGTAGTTCATTTCCGTCCTAAATATTTTAGCAAAGGGTATATTTGGTTGGGAAATTTTGGGATTTGGGTCACATATAAATCACATTATTTATACTATTTACACTGCTGGAAACCCCTCCTCACTACGTCAATAATTTGGCCTACAGACCTGGTCATCTACATTCTAATAACTAAATGTCACCAAAATATTTAGTGACTTATACTAGAATTTGAGAGCGATAATAATGAGTCTTCCTTTAGATATGAATGTTCTACTTTAGCATTTGACTATTTTAGAAAAAGTACCTTCTGTGGATTAGAGTTTGTATGTCAGGGTTTGCTTTTGTCCCCATCACGTAGATAACAAATTTATTTCAACACTCAGGAAGGACATACAAGCACAATTCAGACTCTGTTATCCTTGGGTGCCAACGTCAATGCCAAAGATGAAAGAAATCGATCAGGTACAACTTTACCTTATATATCCCTTGAAAATTATTAGTAAATTAAATGTAAACAGTGCACATACTTTAATATTAAGAACATTGGTTTTAATATTGTTCTTCTAGTAGCTCTGCAACTTTTCCTTAGAATACCATTTCCTCTGTCTGCAAAGCTCTAGAACTATTGCTGTTACCATGACAGTGTAAGAATGCTTACTCATACAGCTGTGTTGTGACTTGTTATTTTTCCTTAGAATACCATTTCCTCTGTCTGCAAAGCTCTAGAACTATTGCTGTTACCATGACGGTGTAAGAATGCTTACTCATACAGCTGTGTTGTGACTTGTTATTTTTTTTTTAATATTTATTGAATCATAATTGATCATACATATTTTTAGGGTTCAACGTTGACATATGTTGATCAAATCAATATTACTAACATATATATAGTTACAAATTGCACTTATTCTTTATGCCCCTTGTCCAATCTCTCCCCTTCCCCCTCTAATTACCCTAGATTTCTTCTCTCCTTCTGAAAGAGTAATGGTTACTCAGTTGATTTGTTGCCTAGATGATCTGTCCAAAGCTGAGAGGTGGGTTCAGGTCCCCCAATATTATCATAGAGCAGATGCTTCTTCTGTCGCTCTGGAATGGGCTTTGTGGAGAGAGACATCCTCTTCTTTATCTCTGCTGGTGACTCTCCTTGTGTCAGTGCACTCCAGTGCCTGGTGGACCATCTGCACGTTGGTTGTGGTGTCTAGCCATTTTCAC